ATCACCGATTTCGCAACCAATAAATTGGGTGCCAAATTGGCGATACGGGGGTGGGGGGGGGGTTATGAAACATCAATTTTGTTATAACAATCGTTGTTGTCAAACGAAGGTGCTGCTTTTTAAAAGTTACCTCTTCACTTATTATATGAACTCCTTGTGTTTCTTTTTCTGTATCTCATGCTATTTGCTCATGGTCCCCAGAGGTCCATTTTCTTGGAAAATAATTTGCTCCATTTTTTATTTTTATGCTTAGCGACATTATTTTGCAGGTTCATAATGCCGTCTTGTATTTAAAGACAATTGGTGCTTTAGATGAAGATGAAAATTTAACATTGCTTGGTAAAATCTTATGTTCTTGATAGAGCAGCCGATTTGTTTCGCATAAGTTTTGTTCATGTCTTAGTTTATACATTTTGTAGGACATTGCTAAAAAATTTGCTAAGCCAATCTTCCATATTCATGTAGGACGACATTTGTCAATGCTTCCTGTGGAACCAAAACTTGGAAAAATGCTCATACTAGGTTCCATTTTCAATTGTGTGGATCCTATAATGACTGTTGTTGCTGGCCTAAGTTTGCGAGATCCGTTTTTGATGCCATTTGACAAGAAAGATGTAAGTTCCTTAAGATAGCTTGATATAAAGTTTATTAGTTGGGCAGATTCAGTTCAAAGTTAAATAGCTATATACTCCCTCCATCCTAAAGTTCTTCGCGTTCATTATTCATAGGGTCAAGCCATATTTTGGTTCCTTGCATAATTTCATTAATTACTATAGTTCTCTCGTGCAAATGCACGGTTATTGTTTTATAATGAATAAGATTTTCTAACTATGAAATGCTTCATGTAATTGTGAGAATATTATACTAAAATATGACATACAAAATAAAAATGACAAATTAAAATTGTATTTCACAGGTATGCCGTATGCATACTTTTCTATAAAAATTAGTTGCATAGAATATTGATAAATTTTACTCCCTCCGTCCCAAAAAAAACATGACCTTATAGTTTATAATGCTCTATTAAAGTTATTTTTAATTCAATTTTTTTCAAAATAGTGTAATATATATATATATATATATATATATATATATATATATATATATATATATATATATATATATATCACCTTGGTAACTTGTAATCTCACACAGTTCAATTGGGGAACCTACGGTGCTCTGATCGTAAAATTGACGGTTCCTACCCCCCTCAGTAATTTTATCCCCATCCCAGCACCCCCTGCCCTCACCCTGGATCGCTGATTTGGCGTGGAAAATCAGCAATCCAGGGGTTGGGGGCCAGAGGGTGCTGGGGTGGGGGGCTTAAATTGTTGTGGGGGGGGGGGGGTAGGAGGGATAGGTTCCTTCAATTTTACGAGCGGAGCACCGTAGGTGCCCCAATTGAACTGGTGTCACGAGCTTACACCAGTTGAACTGGACTACTGGAGTGAGATTACAAGTTCCCTATATATATTATGTATATGTATGTATGTACACATAGATATATATATATATATATATATATATATATATATATATATATATATATATATATATATATATATATATGAATGATTATCTTATTTTGTCATGATCAATGAAAATAGGTAAAGAAAATGGATATAGTTTGACGGTATGAACAGTAAACATAAAGATATTTTGGGATGGAGGAAGTATTATTTTAAATCCATTTTCCATGCACCTTTCTATATTCAAATAATGAGATCAGGTTCTAAAGATTCTTCAATGGTGGTAAATGATAACTATGGCCGTAATAAATGTGTGTAAATTAATGCATGTCTTGCAATCCTCCCCTTACCAATATGGACTGTCTCTTGAGGGGCAAAACTTTGGGGGTTGAACTTTTTTATACTAGCTGGTCCACCTTAAATAGGCTTGCCGCAAGAAACCCCAGATTAGTATGGAACCACTTACCCCAACTCATTTGGCCATGCCGAGCTTGTGCTGTGATTTTTTTAGGTGTAAGTATTACTATGTTACTATTGCTAGTGATTACTACGTGTTAGGGGTAAACCGGGGGTCTTATCAAGTTGATAATTTAGTGGCGGATGTGCGGAGGAAAATGGAAGGGAAATAGTGGGCGAAAGTATGGAGGGTGTTTTAGTAGGAGTTCTTTTTTGGTATTTTATGGAAGAAAAAGAATAGGATTAAGAAGGAGAAATGGAGGGATATGAAATGGAAGAAATATCACGAATGGATAAAACCAAGTTGGTGTTAGGAGATTTTACACACTCTTATCCTAACTTGGGGTTTGAATCTAGAATTCAATTAAGATATTACACACTTAATCAAATATCTAGAACCTAAAACTCACACTTAAGATAACCACTCTTAAGATATAGAATTAGGAATTTGGCTAAAATAGCATCACACTATTTTAATAATACTCAAAGAGTAAATGGTTTTCAATATTCAAAGATGTGTTACAATGGCCATATGGCCTGAGTTATATAGGGAGAGGGGAAGGGGAAAATACATAATACATTGAATGTGAACATGAGGAAGCTTCCTAGCAACATCCACTTCCAAAGTATGGGGTAACACTCATTGAATCCTGTCTCCAAAGTGGGATAAAATTCAGGGATGGGGCTGGGGTTGTGGGGGTTTTGAGCTTTGGTTTGTAGTGGTTGGTTCCTGGGTTTTAAGGCTATTATTTGGGTAAAAATGAGGGGTTGTGTTTGGCCAATAAAAGGGGACAGGGCTGGGCAATATTAGGGGTGGTTTTGGACAT